TCCGATGTCTTCCTCGTCGTTGTCATCCCCTCCTTTCCCATACCCCGCCTCCCCTCGGTTTTCCTGGTCCCCCGCTTCTTCTGTTCCTGATCCCGCTGCGGCCAACCGTCCATACTCAGCTCCCTAATCCGCCTGCATATCCTCGTGCTCATCCGCCACATGCTAGGACTCCCGTTGGGACAATCAGCGCAATGGGAAAGAATGGGTGGAGAAGGTCGGATGTGCGCCTGGCTTGCCCTCTCCCTACTCTCCCTCATCCCCCTGTCTCCTCCTCATCCTTCCTGCTCCTCCTCCACCTCCTCATCATCCTGCTCCTCCTCCTCCTTTCCTCCTCCTTCTCTTCCTCCTCCGCCTCCTCCTCCTCTTCCTCCTCCTCCTGCTTCTCCTCCTCCTTCCTCTCCTCCTCCTCTCCTCCTCCTCCTCCCTCCTCTCTCCTCCTCCTCCTCCTCCTCCTCCTCCCTCCTCCTCCTCCTCCTCCTCCCTCCTCCTCCTCCCTCCTCCTCCTCCTCCTCCTCCTCCTCCCTCCCCCTCCTCTCCTCCTCCTCTCTCCTCCTCCTCCTCCTCCTCCTCCTCCTCCTCCTCCTCCTCCTCCTTTCCTCCTCCTCCTCCTCCTCCTCCCCTCCTCATCCTCCTCTTTTCCTCCTCCTCCTAATCCTCCTCCTCCTCCTCCCTCCTCCTCCTCCTCCTCCTCCTCCTCCTCTCCTCCTCATCATCATCATCATCATCATCATCCCCTCCCCTCCTGCTTCTTCTCCTCCTCCTCATCCTCCTCCTCCTTCCCTCCTCCTCCTCCCCCTCCCCCTCCTCTTCCTCCTTCTCCTCCTCCTCCTCCCTCCCCCTCCCCTCCTCTTCTTCCTCCTCCTCCTGCTCCTGCTCCTCTTCCTCTTCCTCCTCCTCCTCCTCCTCCTCCTCCTCCTCCTCCTCCTCTCCGTCCCCTCCTCCTCCTCCTCCCTCCTCTCCTCCTCCTCCTCCTCCCTCCTCCCCTCCTCCTCCTCCTCCTCCCTGCTTCTCCTCCTCCTGCTTCTCCTCCTCCTGCTTCTCCTCCTTCTCCTCCTCCTCCACCTCCTCTCCGTCCCCCTCCGCCTCCTCCTCAGGCTCCTCCCCCTCCTCCTGGATCCCCTCCTCTCCTCCTCATATTCCTCCTCATACTCTCCCCCCTGCTACTGCTCCTGCTCCTGCTCCTGCTCCTGCTCCTCCTCCTTCTCCTCCCCCTCCTCCTCTTCCTCCTCCTCCTTCTCCTCCTCCATATTGGGGTCTCCCCTTCGCCTCGCGCGCATTCGAATACAAAGTCCACTATCTACGCGCACGTGGCCCTTCCTCGACCTATACGACCCAGCGTTCCATATTGAAAAACAGCCAACACGAATGGAGGGCGGCTTCTCTTCCGATTCGGGGCTCTCGTGTGACACTTCCGCGACACATACGTCCACGACTTTGACATCCTGCATCGCTTAGGCGGATGAAGGGCATGTTGTTCTGAAAGCGGGGTTATCGCTGGGCCTCCCTGGAGAGCTCTTACGTAGGACTTCCGCAGAGCATGCGTCCACGACTTTGGCATCCTGCAGCGCTTACACTGATGGAGGGCACGTGCTTCTCAAAATGGGGCTACCCTGGGCGTCCGTCAAATAGAGGGAGGATCCTTCACAACAGGCGCCCTCGTCTGACTGGCGGACCGACCTGCCACTCGTCATTCACTGGGGGGGAGGGCGCAGTGGTAATGGAGCTTTGTATGGACTTGTGAGAACGGAAATTGGGACGGGAGGGTGAATTGCAGCATCGGCTGACGCATCTTGGGTTTGCTCTGGTCCTCCTGCTCCTCCTCCCCTCCTCCTCCTCCTCCGCCTCCTCCTCCTCCTCCTCCTCCTCCTCCTCCTCCGCTGACGAGCCTCCTCTCCCTCCTCCTCCCTCCTCCTGCTCCGCTCGTCTCCCTCCCCCTCCTTCTGCTCTTCCTCCTCCTCCTTCTCCTCCTCCTCCTGCTGCTCCTCCTCCTCCTCCTCCTCCTCCTCCTCCTCCTCCTCCTGGCCTGGCCTTCTCTGTCGCGGAGGGCTCCGACGGCATCGGGGCCCCCTCGCTCCCTCGGAGCTCCGGGCGCCGGCCCAGCGGCAGCGGCCGGCGGGTCGGAGGACCCGAGGGCATGGGGTCACCGCCCCGCCGCTCCCTCGGGCCCCCCCTCGCTGGTGCTCGGACTGCGGGCCCCCCCACAGGACTGCATCCACGCGCGCGCCGACGTGTGCACACGCGCTCCCGCCCCCCAGACTGCAGGTACCCCCCCTGGACTCGGGCACCCCTCCCCCGGACTACAGGCAACCTTCCCCCGGACTACTGGTGCCCTTCCCCCGGACTGCGCGTTCCACGACATGCGAAGTGACTGCTCTCAGATGGCCTGGATCCGCCGCGGGGGAGGTCTACGATGAACTACATCGATGTAGACATGTTTTCTTTGTCGGACGTTTGCGAGTAGGCACTTCGCGAGCAGTGGAACGCGCTCGGCGAGCGTCGC